GGTATGAAGCACAATATATTTTAGAGATTTGATTTTTAAAACTTACTTCAAACGATGAGAAGTAACGATTTATTCTTGGAGTTGAATGCTCTACTATAATAAGTAAACTCTTTCCTACTGTTCTATTTTTAACCTAGTTAACAAGTCACCACGCGAAAGGGTGAGTATTGACGCAATTTATCAGCAAAGCATGTATGGAAAATCAAAGGAACTCAGACTGTCTTATGTATTTCAAAAATAAATCGCCGAGCAAATATGTCAAAAACAATTATCCCTAAGGTAGTCAGTGACGTTTGGTAATGTCGAGGACTGATTGAAACCCTGACTATAAAAGACAGTAGAATAAACATGAGACAAAACTTCAAGCAGGATTTAAACTTTCTGAAAGTTTTGCATGAATTTTATTGACTACTACAATTAAATAGTAAGCCTTATTCTGATTTTCACACGCTATCTTCAACTAATCATTTACTATCAAAGCAGTTAGCCGAACAAGCAATAGCTTAGTGAATGAAATTAGATGTTGTTAGAAGTGACGAATATTTGATGTTCAATTACTAAGGAAGCCTTTTTACCTAACAAAGTTAATACTGACTGGTAATTCAGGCACATAATGCGACTAGAGTATTCAGTATATTCCTTGTTAGCTTGTGAGTTTACATGAGATTATACTTAAAGGAGAATTTGTAAACACAGTTACCTCAATTTATATTGATAGCCTATCAACAAACTGGTGATTACTAGTCGTCAATACTATCTTCAGATTATCTTTAAGTGTACTAACACATGGTTAACAACATAGAGCACATACAAATCACTACCTTCATACTCACTGACAACTAATCCTATGCACTTATGATAAGCAGTGATAATTGTGTGTGTATGCATACAAAAACATAATTTCAATTCTTATATTACTCAAGTGACTTCAGGTTTGCTATTTCTTGTAATTAGTTAATTTAAATATTAAATAACATTCTTAGACTGAAACAACCCAATACTATACTGTTATCAATTTCCTTAAAGTCTTCTCTGATAAACCAATAGTTGAAGGGGTAAGTTACATTTACTCAGTAGGTTACAAATGCTGTTTATTGATAGTTGTAATTTCCTGTTACTGGGTCTAATTCCTCAACCTTTGTTAGCAAATGGGATTCTATGCAGATGCCTTGACGCTGCCTTGATATGCATCATATTGTAGTCTACTTGTTGACTAGCAGTGGAATTAAGGACGCATACTTTGTTTTGTTGGGGACTCATCAGCTGGATGAACCTACACCACAGCGAGTGATGTTATTACCACTGAGACCCAAACCCACTGCCAATCGTTTCAAACGCCAAAGCGTTATCCATTAGGCGCTTGATGCAGTCTGAAATTTTTACAAGAAGGCTGAAACCAGTAATGCTTAAACTTCTCATTCTTTCTACATTACTATGGATGGAAGTCAGGCGACTTTGGAAAGAAAACGAAGTTTACTTTATGGACATGATTCAAACGAATAATGATCACTAAGTGGTGATCACTTATTTGATCGGTTAAGTTTTAATTCGAGTTATAGATGGATTTTTATTAGAGTCATTCAGTCAACACCTTCTTACATTAATGATATTTCGTTAAACCACAGCTATTTCAATCTCCCTAACAACGAGGACACATATTACATTTTCATCCATCCAATCGATTAACATCTACCAAAGTGCATCACAATGCTTAGCCGCCCAGCCTGATAACCACTTTGCAAAATGATCAATAGGATTTGATCAGCCCTTAGGACTAGATGACATCAAGTTGGTTACCCTCCAGTGACCAATCAGTGAACATTTTCACTAGTTGAACTGCATTCTACATCATGTGTTTGGTAAATGTGCAGTAGTTTCTTTTAGTTTTGCAATCTGGGCTGCCTTACTGGGTTCAAACATCGTACGGACATTCCATGTCCCCACGTTTACTTTCGCTTTCATCGAGGGAGAGAAGACACATCGGCCAATTGGCTTCCCGAAGACTTTCACCAACCGGCGTCATTTCGCCTCTCCGATTCCAGAGAGGAATAATTTTGTTTTCATTTTTTATATTTTGTTTGTGCTTTGAAGTTTGTTTAGCGGTTAGATTTGTTTTAGGGGGTAGGGTTGCTAGCCGTATGCCCAACCTTCCCTCTTTACTTGGGCTTAGGACCGGCTAGTAACTAGTGTACTAGTTAACCAGGCGAGTTTTAAAGTTGAAAGTGAGCAGAATGCAAATGACATTCGGCATTTTTTTTATCAGTTATACACAGCCAAAACGCTGACGGGAACCGAAACTCGAATCAAGAGCCCTACTAAGTAACTTAAAGAAAGACAAATTCATGACACTTTAGTGGCTTTACATAAACAAAAACTATTGGAAAAACTTCTTTACTAGACAATGACTCCAGTCACAAAGTGAAAAGAGTGAAAAGTAAAAAGAGAAAAAGATAAAAATGACATATAAGAAAATACAAGTCTTATAAAATGTGCCAATTGGTGAGTGCGCTTTAAAATATCGAAAAATGGCAATATTGCATAGTATTTGTGTATTATTTCAGATGCATCTGGTATTCATAACTTGTAAACGTATGATGAGGTTTCATGGACTAGTGTGAAAAGTCCTCACATATCCAAGCTTCAAAGTGTTTTTGTATATTAAAATTTTTTTAGCAAAAATTTGTGTATTAGACATAAATTCTGTTTAAGTTTTCGTACCTTCGAAATAAAGTAATTTCAACTTTTCACACAAGAATCTGGTTCCAGCTTCTTCAGAACTAATCTAATTTACATTATGAATACACTAAATCTCAATATAAATATTTACCGTTTGTAGAAGTTGAAAGAAGAGAAAATCTGAAACTCACATTAACTTATTTGTCAGGATTATGACACTCATTTCCATAAACATTTCAAAAAGTAGCTGTTTTACGTCGCAGATATACAACTATTTCGATTAAGTTTGTTTCAGTATTCTGTTTTTTATCATGCCACTTACCTTTCAGAAATGACTTTCGGTAAGTTAAACGCATATTACACTATTTTTTCAGAAGAAAATCATCCGATTTATTTCAAGTTGTTATTCATCGTAGACTGACATCAGTTGGAGGAACAAAGGAAACCTGGGAGCACTGGACGGCTGTTTCGTCCTAGTGCGCACCCACAACCCCACTAGCAGGGGTTGAACCCGCGACCTTCAGATCCCGCGGCCAGCACGTTACCATTGAGCCACTGGGTCAGAATACAATGCTCCATATTTCCAACTTCTGTTAGCTCACGATATTTTAATATTTGTAAGTTAATGTACTGTGACCACTGTCATTCACATAGACCATGTATAAGCCAAACTGCTAATTAACTAAAGAAAACTAGCATTCTGCAACGTTTTACATTAAAACTTTTGGAGGAGAAATCCATAACTATTTATTCATTTGAATTTAGAACCAATTTGATACGAGCAGACAATGAGAGCAGGAAAAGTTGAAAACTATACAGGGAACCAAAATTTATTCATTGAAATCAAAAGAAATTAAAGTTGAACAGTCTGAGTGGTTTGCACTACTGAAGGAATTTGTGAAGAAGAAAGCCGATAGAGTAGTAAAATCGTATGTGACATAAGAAAGTTTAAAACTTAGATAGATAGTTGTTCTAGTACATACGCTGAAATTCTTTTCTAGTCTATGATACATTTCCTAATACAGCTGACAGTTTCAAAAGTTGATTTTACTCGTCGAGAAGTTTTTCTTTCCTATGACCGTCCTTTTTGTCTTTTCTAATGATCACTACTTATTAAAATCGAAGCAAAAATCGAACTGCGTGAGCAAGTCTTTGTTTATGAGTAATTGTAGCGTAGAGATATATGAACAGTATCTTGAATTCGTGGAGATTATTCTTATCTGACGCGGGATAAAACAACTAATCCGCGTTTTATTTTATGATCACTTCATTAAACAGACATTTAATTACGATATGAATGGGCAGCAGATGACTTGTTTTGCTTGTAAACCGTAACCGTATACCATTAACAGTAGTCACTGTCCAACAACTTTTTTGAAGAACGAACTTAGCTGTTCATAGGACTAGTTACAAGTGGTATAACTTACGGACAGCTTTTGAGTGCTAGGCAGGTACAACATATGAAGGGATGTCAGCAAGTATAAATTTGGTTTTCAGATCCTCCTACTGATAGCCTGCAGCTAAACCTGCTTCCAAATCTAGTAAAAACAGTATGGTGCAAAGCATACTGTTATGACAGTAACGAAACTAATGTGACCAGATTCATGTGCTTGAACTAACAATCACAAATGATCACTCTAACATCATCATGTGAGTTTGGTTTTAGATACACCCCACTATCTGAATATTTCTGCACTGCCCTACGCTTTTCCAAGCTTTTGAGTTACCAAACTAAGTGAGTACAAGATGACGTACCTTCATCCCTTCAATCAGCAGTTTGTTTTTCCCTTTCTTCAAGTTGTGAAAGATTCATTCCAGCATAAACCAGCTTTCCGAATGTATCGTATTGAATTGTGTCAATTTTAGATATATTTCTCAAATTGCTTTTTATCTTCAGCACATTATCTTTTGATGTAGCCTACAAAAACTAATGTTGATAACTCACATACTGATCGATGGCTGGCTGGTACCTAATGGCATATTATTTGGTTTTGTAGGTTGAGTGAACTCTATCGACCACATCAAGACTATAGATATTAAAAACTATCTAAACATACTTCTGGGTGATCCGACAATGATTACCATTTAATTATCCTTCATTGTATCTATTCTAATTTGATGGGAGGCTGATTGTGGTTTATTCGACTCATTTGTGATTTATCTGAACAAAATAATGGATAAAGCGGGTTTGACTCTCTCTTTGAGACCACAAATTTATTTGGGCTTGTGTAAATGTCTTACTGACATAGGGCTTTTGCTAACTAGCACCAAAGAAATAACATAACTAACAAACCAATGCTAAATGTATGGCAGAAGCAGCCGTTTTTTGTCATATAAATTTTATTTTTCCACTTTCAAAAGAATAAAATTTTATTTGAAAGAAAGTTATACACAGTTAAATTGATAATTTAGTCAACTCTTTAGTATTAGTATTCCAATAACCTCTTTATCCGTACCTCATAAGGCTTCCCAAGCTTTTTGAATTTGTATAATATTCATCACCACCATTACTGTCATCACCGTTGTCAGTATTTCTTTGACTATGTTGATGATAACCATTTTGACCAGTAAACATTGCTCTAACTAGATTTGTATCCAGTGGTTCAAATAATTCATATCTTTTTTGTATGGAACTTGTTAGAGGTAGACGGTATTCAATATATCTTGAAGTTGTAAAATTTAAACAAATGTGTGCAATGAGGTAGAAGAAGAGAGCCCTCTGATACAGCGTATTTTTGGTCATCAGTATCATAATATGTGTAACGCTATGAAATGGAAAACAAAAAAAAAGTTATTTTTTAATTCAGTATAATGTGAGCAGCTTGGTCATATCCTGTAATTCCTATCTATGTGCTATTTATAGGCTGTTTGGTTCGATGGTGAAGCTGAGATTTTAAAAGTGGACAAAAAGTTATCATTCTAAGCTTGAAATGAGGATTTATAGGGGGAAGGAGTATACTTTATTTTGACTATCCGGTTGTTATTGTCTAAGCCCTACTAGTTGATCACACATTGTCACTCAGAACAAGCCGTATGAATTCAGACCCACAGATGACTTATTCAATTGATTCTAAAGAGACACTTTCCTAGAAACGCTGGTGTTCAAATACCGAATAATCTCTTTATTTGCAGCCCGGATATAGATCAAGTCTAACTAGACAGTCATGTAATGCCCATAAACAATACTTCCTATGGAGACTCTAATTTGACGTATACACTTGGGCTGACCTTGAATAAGTACTCAGCTGGTCATAGTTTAGATCTTGAGGGTTACATCATCAGGTTAGCTAACTAGACCAACTTATACTTCTGGAAACATTTCTGAATAACATCAAACACCTGTACATTTAATCTCTACCATACTATAGTCAATGGCCAAAGTGAAGGCATCTACAGAGGAGACTAAATGCTAGTTACCGATAAAGATATAAACGTTAAAAATAAAATATTCACGATTGACTTCTAAATGTCAGAAAATATTAAACGACTGTCACTGTTATACTGGGTTAGAGATCTCTAGTACTATCAATATACTACGAAGCATGGTGTATCGTAATTTATGTTTGACCGTCAGATATTGCCCGACTGGTCTTATCATTAAAATTAAGCGGTATTCAGTCATAAAGCCAGGGGTACATAGAGAGTTTCAGAAACAACAATTGGTATTCGACTAAAATAATACAGAGTTACAATGTGTCTTAAAGTCGTGAACTATTGCTAACAGAAACTAGCTTTAACGGTGTTTCAGACTAGTTAACTGAGTAGTTGTTTAGTTTTTTACAGTCATGGTAAGCCTGACTAGGCTATCCATTCCCTCACTGCAAACGTGTTTATAACAGTGACAGACCACTTTTAAGGACTGTAGTCTTGTTAAATCAGTAAAAACATGGCACAGTGTTATGTTCCTATCATTCTGCCAGTCAATATTTAACCTCTGTCACGGTAATTGGAATCGATGTCCACTACTCGTTTGCAGCCACCAAGAATTCCAAGTGGAAACTACAAATTGTGGACCAGAGGATAACTAGTTCCTTTCCCATATAATATGTTAACTAGTTATAAAAATTCTTGTCAACAGAATTGCAACCTGATAGTTCAGTGGTAAAGTACCAAGCAGACAGCCTCAAGGTTATGAGTTCAGTATGTATCAGGTCGGAGAAAATGGATTACTGATGGGTAACATACTTCGCCTAAAAGTTAAGCAGTGCAGCATGGTTTCTAGTAGCTAGTCAGTTGATACCTGGTAGTGAGCGTCATGTCTGGATATATTATACAAAACTGAAAATTATTGACCCTCATAAAAGTCATGTAGCAACAAAATAATTTTCCCGTAGGACTGTATATGAATAACCTTTGTGTGAACATGTTATATATCACTCTGGCATTACGGCATATCAGGAATGAACTTAATGCTGATTCTTGGATCTGTGTTGCAAAGACTAAGGACTTTTCCCTGCAAAGAACATAATATGTCTGATTTCTACACTTTGAACTGTGTTATGATTTCTTTCGGTCGATGCAGTAAGCTGTGACAGTGGTTGCTAGGATTTTCCATATTGAAAGATATATTTAGGAATTAAGACGGAACATCAATTTCAGTCATTATCTTTGAAGTATCACAAGGTTTTTCAATGATGAAACCGTCTGATTTGAGACAAATAAAAGATATTATACCCTGAAAAGTATTTTTAAACAGTTTTGATAACCATTGACTTCATTTGCGTAGTATGTTAAAGGAGGATTACTGATGACGCTAAGTCTTTAGGAAATGGCTCAAAATTATCCACAGTGTCAGAAGAAGATAACAAAACTTGGGTAAACGACAAACTGAAATTGTAGGTAACGAAGGGCAACATAAGGGTTTGATTATTCTACTTTACTTTCCTTACTAAGGTATCTGTAGATTGATGGTTAGTGTTTAACCTATGAACTTGCATGGTATTTTTAGATGTCTTTTTTGAATATGCTATTAGTATCCACATACTGTAACAATCGAGTTACTGATACCGTTTAATCTTGAATAGTTTCAGTTCATTGCTTTGATCTTCATACTAACTATAATTTCATTGATTTCAGGTTGGTATTCATCATAGACTGACATCATTTGAAGAAACATTGGAAACCTGTTTCACTCTAGTACGTGATCACTCAACAGTACGCACCCACGATCCCACCAAGGATCGCCAAAAGCCTTTAAATTTTTGAATTTTATTGTTATAATTTCAACTATGAAAAACCTGTAGTCTTAAAGTTGGGTGTGCGTTTATCTAATAAGGAAGTAAGAGGTTTTAAAAATCACGTAGGAAAACAAATATCCAATCACCTATCTCTTGACTTTAAATAATGTTATTTGGATATTATCTCTTCAAGTAGAATGTCAGAAAAAACTAAATCACAAGAACTATAGTCTTTTCTTAAAAAGTATCCTACAGTACAAAACAGTGTAGGTAATTAGATATATTTTATACGGGGGAGGGGCAAAGATTACAATCCCTAACTGAATGAATGAATTTAAAGGTCACCTCAGCAACTACTGAAATAGCCAATCAGGTTTCAGTATTTCGGCTGGGACAGTAGTTTTACATAAAATGAAGAAACGCAACTGATTATCTTAACAATTGGTTGGATACCCTTTAAAGTGACTCAGTTGACTACCTTTCATCACTAAAAGACCAATCCCTCATGCAGATGATTACCCATTCAAGCTGTGTAAGTTATAGTTCGAAAAATGAATGATTATCGAAATAAAGTAAAAAAGAAAATAATTGAAAATTTATAAGACTATTAGTAAAGGTGTTGCTGTATTTATTCATGTGCAGTCACAATTTCTTTACTTCATTATTTAACCTAATTAACAAAAGAGGTGTACTTGAAGAAAAAACAACTCACCTTAATGTTGAAACACTTTAAATATTCCAAAAATTTGCATTTAAATAGACATTTATAGGCTGTTGTTGGTGTCGTTGTCGTCGTTGTATGTTTTATTTCGTACTGTGTAAACCAACCACAAGTGCTTCTTCAAAATAAAGTTGAAACAAGTTAAATAACACGGTAATTTTGAGATTTCAGTTGACCAATTGAGTCTAAATAAAAAAAATTACAGAAGTATGCTGATTTGCTTAGAATAAAAATACTTTTTAATTCAGTAGAAATTAGCCAATCTGTCAAAAGGTTCACTAGCAGATAAGCAATTGGATAAACAAAAAGATTAACAAATTAACCGTTTTAAATCATCCACATACCGAAATCCTGATAGGGATAAGACAAAGTAACTGGTGAAATAAAGTTTTCGAATGAATGATTTTGCATATGCCAATCGAAGATAGAAGTCATGAAAATCATTCGGGGTAAAATTGCATATTTGTTGATTTCTATGTATTTTGAGGGACTTCATTTCTAAGGTAACATTAATCACAAACTGATATGATTTGGGGAATCATTGAAAACCTGAGAGCACTGCATAACTATTTTGTGCTGCTATAGGGCTCTTCAGCAGTACTCATCCACGATTCTGCTAGCAATCGAGCTCATGACCTTCAGATTTCACGGTGAACGCGTTAACCATTGATGTATTTTTTCTGTGACTTTTAGCTGGTAGTGCGTGCATTAAACACATAGCTTTGAAAATACTTCACAGCTCACTTAACCTCAGAGCATTGTTCTTGAGGAGCATGTATTTAATCGGACGGTCATGTAAATAAGGAGGAAAATTTGTCTTATTATATCTTCATAAGAGTCTATCGATCCTGCATTAAGATTTATCATTGAGTAGCTCCACTATCTCATCATGATAAAGGTAATTCTAATTTATTTTCAGAAGTTTTGTCCAACTTTGGGTTATTTCTTGAATTATATCCATGATTCCTCACTTCTGTCTGTGTGTTTCGACATTTGGTAGGGTTGTTTTAAATCAACCAAGAAATATTCACTTAAAACGATATTTGTTTCAATGAAGATCGTCAGTAAAACAGATTTAATGCCTAATATAATTTCATAAATTATAATGTGTCTAGATTACATTTTCGATTCAGACTCGGATGTATAACAATTGAGTAATTTTTGATGCAAAGGTATTCTAGAGTTAACTTAGTGAAATTTAAGAGTTTTCACTGACACAGTGGGATCTTCTGGTGTAAGTTAAGTAAACGATCTAAATTTCGTCGGAAAAATTCCAGATGTTAAAGCATCTCTAGAAATGATTTATTCTTCTAATTGGACACTTTTAATCTGAGTGGATAACCATGAAGCTAACAGAAATATAGAAAAAACTTTTTTTAAATCACTCAACGAACCCAAATGTCATTTTGGTGAGCCACCGCAAACTGTTTCCTGCATGTTGGTTTTGTATGAATGACATATCCAGAAAATGAGCCTCTTTGCTTTCATCGAATACTTTAGTGGAAGACAAAGATCACAGAACCTTAGAAATTCTTTGGAAGGTTTTTTCCATTTGGGTTGAATTCAAGAAGGAAAATACGTCAGAAATGCTCGAAAGTCTATTGCTTAAAGTAATCATGATAACTTTCTTTACTGCTGAACTGCAGCAGGTTACTGACTTTAGTTCACGAAAACGATAAATTGTCACAGTATTTTAGATATTTGTGTGCACCAACCACTTGACCTGCTCTTGTAAAATTGATCATGTAGCTTTTAAAAAGTGGAATATCTCTCAACGAGACTCTAAACACAATACTGATCGGTTATCCGGGTAGAAATGAGATCAGACAACAGCTGCATCCTATATATTTTCAGAAGACCCCATCATGTAACCTTGTAAGGCCAATCCTAGAATTTTCTGTACAGTCGAAGTGAAAGGCTGACAAAGAGTACAGGTTTGTTACTGGTCCAACAATTAAAAACTGAGAAGTGATACATTCAATCCTTCATTTTCCTGCAGTCATAATTTTTCGACTCCACTTTTTGTTTCAGCATTCGCTATATTCTAATACTTTTATTGTTGCTGTCACTTCATTATTTACTTTTCTAGATTTACATGAGGTAATTCTAAGTCCCCACTTAAAAGTCATATCATTATATTTTGGATAACTTCAAAATAAATGACTCTGAAAATTCTTTAAAGTAGTTGATTGCATACTTTTAGCAACTATTATTACATTGACGCTTTTTGGTTAGAGAAATGATTCCCTATTTCCGCTTAGAACACTTCTGTTTTGACCTAGATAACCAATAAAAGACTGAACTGTTTTTCGTGGACATGAAGACAATTTTACAGCTGTTGAAGATTGTTTGTCAAACAAAACTGTCTTCACTGAAGTACCTTATACAAACGTTACGTTACAGTCAGCTTCCTGGTTTGTAGAATTTACCTCTAGTCCTGTATCACTGACTCTAGCTCAGGTTTTCTGTCAACTTCATTTTCAATCACCATATGAATATAAAGTTTAGCCCCGTTTCATGCAAATGCAGTGAGTGCTTAACTCATAAACCACTTAGTTTAGAAAATGTGAAACAACTGAAAAACTTCAGTCATCTTTCACTATTGTTAAATACTGAATAGAACTCATCTTTGCAAGTTTCTGATACATATGAATGATCCACCGGCCGTGAATGGAGTCTAAATATAGTAAGATTCCTCCAGCTTTCGCTGGTTTTTTGTTAAACGTTTTTATAATATCCGTTTGACCATATGAAATAGCCGTGATTTGCAGACTTGTATTATTATTATTACTGGGTGATGATTGAAAGTTAAATGGAAATCTGAGTTGCAGAAGGATTCAAATCAGCTGCCATTGGGTCTCTGTAAAGTAATTCGCTCTATTTTTAACCACTTCTGTCTGCAGCACTTTTGACAGTGGATGTGGATTTCTCTTCAAACAATGCTTATTCTTTAGTTTTCTGTTAGCTCCTCTTCGTAAACTGGATTTGAATAATGTCGTTTGAAGAAGTGATGAAAGCTTAAATATACTAGACAGCTTTACTCTCTCACTCCCCTTCTTTTATTGTTCACTATTGCCTAGTGTTCGTCTGTATTTATCACACTTTTTAGTGATGATTTAGCAAACGATTATGGTTTTAGAATTGTTATTTTGTCGAAGCTTATATTTCCTCTTCAAGTGGACGACTACTGGATATTTATCATTCATCAAGGAGTTGATTTCCAACCTCTGGTCAATGTGTCACTAAAGGCTGATGACAGTTTATAAAGCAAAGAGTGAAATTTAATCAGGGAGTTTGATACTTCCATGAAGGTTATGTTTTGGGTAGACATTGATTTTGTGCTAATGAGTGTGCTCTTCCCAACTAAAACTGCTTGTTACGTATATGAATAGTTGTACGAGTCCAAGAAAGTTACTTGAAGTAGCTTCTCGTAAGACGTGCATTGAATAGCTTGTTCACTTTCAGTAACCACTTTTAGAGATGGAAGAGAGAAATCTTGAAGGTAGCCAGCTTTGATGTCAAAGTTTGGGAACAACAACCTTAGTCGAATAGCTAAGTTATTCAACTTCAAACTTCAAAGAATATATCCAGGAGATATCTGTCGTTTGGACTTAAGGATATAACCTGGATGACACTCTGATTTCAAGTAGCAGTCGTCACTTAGGACTTTATGTTTTTCATGGGGAGAAATTCGAAACAATGACCACTTTATAGATAGTTTTTTTACCAAGTGTATTCACCGATAATTCTAGTGAATGAACAGTTAGAATATTTCTTTAGTCAAATGCGTATCAATGAAAGCTACACCTTAACTATTCGTCATCCTGTCAAATAAATAATTTTTATAGTTCACAGACTGGTGTTGTACGTTGGGCGTCAATTTTAAGGAAACTGTTCATAATCTGTGTTCATGCGTGGCACTCATTAGCAGCAACAACAACAACGGCATTGAACGGAGGTTTCCCTTTACCGTTAACTGACGGAAGTAGGAAATGTGGACTACTGGATTTCGACCCACTAAGCTCAATGATAACTTGCTGGTGGCGAGACCTAACGATCCCGGGTTCGACTCCTGGTGGGGTCGTGGGTGCGCACTACTGAGGGGTCCGATGCTGGGATGGAACGGCTGTTCAGTGCTCTTAGGTTTCCAGTGGTTTTCCAACTGATGCCAGTCCATGATTAATGAGAACACTGATTAAAAATCAGTAAGTAAAAATGAAAAGCAATGCAATTAAAACCAGGTTATGTTAATACTGTCCAGAAAAGTTGAATACAATTCGTTGCTATGTAAAAAGTATGGTTGAAAAACCAAGACTAAAAGGGCAATAACAAATTCGGTATATTTTTTCGTTCTAAAAGATTGAGGGTCACTTATTATATATTCTGTTTCAGTAAGTTACCTGGTGGTTGTACTGGTAAAATCCTTATACCCTTTCAAACACATTTTCTCAGAAAATGCCCACGAAACTGTATACTTGCTTCCAAATATGTATTCAGCTCCTAAATACAATTGAAGAAAGCTTAGTTTGGGAATTTAAGCACTTCGACTGAGTTGAAAAGCCCACAGTATTGTCAGCTGACATAAATCTAGTTTCATGAGGCGCCTTTTCAATAGACTTTTGAATTTTTTTCAGATATTTTATTGTCTCAAAATCCTTCTTCCAAAGTGTACTATGCCATTATTCCTTTTCATAATTCATTACAGGTTTAGTTTTTTCAACTTGGCATAGCTCCTTGTTCTTGTTTTATGTATAACTATAAAGGGAACTAAAGATATTTGAAGCTCTATAGCTGTTTCCAAATTCAGAAAACTGTTTTAGGAATTTTGTAATTTCTCTTAATTCCTTCTTTAGATCATTCATCTTATACAAACTGAGTTATTTTAACCGCTGTCAGTACTACTACCACTACTGCTACTACTGTAACAACCAGCTGTTGATACACTTTTTTCTAGACTAAAGTTAGGTACGTTGTTGGAGGACGGCGAGTAGAGTAGTGTGTGTGGTGGTGATCACAAGAATCTAGCAGGGAAAAGAAGAAGAAAAATAGGTGAGCCGACGATTCATCAAGTACACAGGATGTACTCACATCTAATAATAATAAAAGAAAACTCTAAATGATAGGGCTTGACAACGAAGAGGTGAGGAA